TTGTATATGTATTTACTGTATGTCAAAAATAGGGACCACAATGGAAATAAGTCCCCGACTTTAATGTGCAACCCAGGTCACTTTAAAAATCTTTGTGTATGTATGTATTTTTTTTGCTGACAAATCAAATCAATTAATCCAAACTGATCAGCGGCCAATTGATGAATGGAAAAATACATATTTTACAAAACACCAAAAAGTTTAATGACATTCGGAGATTGTCAAGCCAAGCCTTCGATACTGGGTAAGCCTACAAGGTAGGGAGGGATATATTTTCTGTTTGTCGATATTGACATAGTCTATTTATTGTGGTGATGAAAACGCAAACCATGATATTGAAGTGCCCGAAGTCGGTATGCTTTGTTTATTGGTTGTGTGGTGCATTGGCACAGAAACCTGTTGGTTGAAAATTAGTTGCATATATTTTATATAATTATAAATATGGCATAAAAATTTTGAAAATCTGATTCCCCCCTAGCTGATCATTGTCTGCAGCTGGCTCTGATCATAGTGTAATGAAACAGGCAGAGTGAGCTCATCTGTGGTGGTCAGCGAACCCTCCACCTTCTGACCCTTAGCCCTGCGTTGGCATCGACTGTGCCACAAAAGCAGCTGAAGTAGTAAAGCCGATATCCACGTTGATAAACACATGGTCACTACAGTTATTGTTATTTGTGGTTGTAAACGTTATTCTGAGTTAATTCTATGAGGGGAGAAGGTGTTCAATTTATTTTAGAGTACAAGGTGATGGTCATGTGAAAATATTTGACATATTTGACATAGTGCAACACAATGGGCGTGTTCGAATTGTAAGGCTAAAAGCAGCCGACTGTAGACGAAAGTCCATACAGGAAAATAACATATTTACATATATTTTAACAACATATACAGTATGTGCATGTACAGTTGAAGTCAGAAGTTTACATACACTTAGGTTGGAGTCATTAAAACTTGTTTTTCAACCACTCCACAAATGTCTTGTTAACAAACTATAGTTTTGGCAAGTTGGTTAGGACATCTACTATGTGCATGATACAAGTAATTTTTCCAACAATTGTTTACAGACAGATTATTTCACTTATAATTCACTGTATCACAATTCCAGTGGGTCAGAAGTTTACATACACTAAGTTGACTGTGCCTTTAAACAGCTTGGAAAATTCCAGAAAATGATGTCATGGCTTTAGAAGCTTCTGATAAGCTCATTGACATCATTTGAGTCAATTGGAGGTGTACCTGTGGATGTATTTCAAGGCCTACCTTCAACCTTAGTGCCTCTTTGCTTGACATCATGGGAAAATCAAAAGAAATCAGCCAAGACCTCAGAAAAATAATTGTAGACCTCCACAAGTCTGGTTCATCCTTGGGAGCAATTTCCAAATGCCTGAAGGTACCACGTTCATCTGTACAAACAATAGTACGCAAGTATAAACACCATGGGACCACGCAGCCGTCATACCGCTCAGGAAGGAGACGCGTTCTGTCTCCTAGAGATGAACGTACTTTGGTGCGAAAAGTGCAAATCAATCCCAGAACAACAGCAAAGGACCTTGTGAAGATGCTGGAGGAAACAGGTACAAAAGTATCTATATCCACAGTAAAACGAGTCCTATATCGACATAACCTGAAAGGCCGCTCAGCAAGGAAGAAGCCACTGCTCCAAAACCGCCATAAAAAAGCCAGACTACGGTTTGCAACTGCACATGGGGACAAAGATCATACTTTTTGGAGAAATGTCCTCTGGTCTGATGAAACAAAAATAGAACTGTTTGGCCATAATGACCATCGTTATGTTTCGAGGAAAAAGGGGAACGCTTGCAAGCTGAAGAACACCATCCCAACCGTGAAGCACGGGGTGGCAGCATCATGCTGTGGGGGTGCTTTGCTGCAGGAGGGACTGGTGCACTTCACAAAATAGATGGAATCATGAGGAAGGGAAATTATGTGGATATATTGAAGCAACATCTCAAGACATCAGTCAGGAAGTTAAAGCTTGGTCGCAAATGGGTCTTCCAAATGGACAATGACCACAAGCATGCTTCCAAAGTTGTGGCAAAATGGCTTAAGGACAACAAAGTAAAGGTATTAGAGTGTCCATGAAAAAGCCCTGAACTCAATCCTATAGAACATTTGTGAGCAGAACTGAAAAAGCGTGTGTGAGCAAGGAGGCCTACAAACTTCACTCAGTTACACCAGCTCTGTCAGGAAGAATGGGCCACAATTCACCCAACTTATTGTGGGAAGCTTGTGGAAGGCTACCCAAAACGTTTGACCCAAGTTAAACAATTTAAAGGCAATGCTACCAAATACTTATTGAGTGTATGTAAACGTATGACCCACTGGGAATGTGATGAAAGAAATAAAAGCTGAAATAAATCATTCTCTCTACTATTATTCTGACATTTCACATTCTTAAAATAAAGTGGTGATCCTAACTGACCTAAGACAGGGAATTCTTACTAGGATTAAATGTCAGTAATTGTGAAAAACTAAATTTAAATGTATTTGGCTAAGGTGTATGTATACTTCCGACTTCAACTCTATGTAGGCTACATACAGTGCATTCGGAAAGTATTCAGACCCCTTGACTTTTTCCACATTTTGTTAAGTTACAGCTTTATTCTAAAATGGAATAAATTGTTTTTTATCCTCATCAATCTATACACAATACCCCATAATGACAAAGCAAAAACAGGTTTTTGAAAATATGGACATTCAGAGACATGTCCCGAAGCCACTCCTGCATTGTCTTGGCTGTGTGCTTAGGGTCGTTGTCCTGTTGGAAGGTGAACCTTCACCCCAGTCTGAGGTCCTGAGCGCTCTGGAGCAGGTTTTCATCAAGGATCTCTCTGTACTTTGCTCCATTCATCTTTCCCTCGATCCTGACTAGGCTCCCAGTCCCTGCTGCTGAAAAACATCCCCACAGCATGATGCTGCCACCACCATGCTTCACCGCAGGGATGGTGCCAGGTTTCCTCCAGACATGACGCTTGGCATTCAGGCCAAAGAGTTCAATCTTGGTTTCATCAGACCAGAGAATCTTGTTTCTCATGGACTGAGAGTCCTTTAGGTGCCTTTTGGCAAACTCCAAGAGGGCTGTCATGTGCCTTTTACTGAGGAGTGGCTTCCGTCTGGCCACTCTACCATAAAGGCCTGATTGATGGAGTGCTGCAGAGATGGTTGTCCTTCTGGAAGGTTCTCCCATCTCCACAGAGGAACTCTGGAGCTCTGTCAGAGTGACCATCGTGGTTCTTGGTCACCTCCCTGACCAAGGCCCTTCTCCCTCGATTGGTGGTTCCAAACTTCTTCCATTTAAGAATGATGGAGGCCACTGTGTTCTTGGGGACCTTCAATGCTGCAGACATGCGCTAACGGACAATTCCTTCGACCTCATGGCTTGGTTTTTACTCTGACATGCACTGTCAACTGTGGGACCTTATATAGACAGGTGTGTGCCTTTCCAAATTATGTCCAATCAATTGAATTTACCACAGGTGGACTCCAATCAAGTTGTAGAAACATCTCAAGGATGATCAATGTAAACAGGATGCACCTGAGCTCAATTTCGAGTCTCAGAGCAAAGTGTCTGATAGCTTATGTAAATAAGGTATTTCTGTTTTTTATTTTTAATACATTTGCAAACATTTTTAAATCCTGTTTTCACTTTGTCATTATGGGGTATTGTGTGTAGATTTCTGAGGATTTGTATTTATTTAATCCATTTTAGAATGAGGCTGTAACGTAACAAAATGTGGAAAAAGTCAAGGGGTCTGAATACTTTCCGAAAGCACTGTAGACAGGTGTGTGCCTTTCTACAATGTAGAAAATAGTCAAAATAAAGAAAAACCCTTGAATGAGTAGGTGTGTCCAAACTTTTGACTGGTACTGTATGTGCAAAAATATATGGGCATATTACAAAATTGGCCATTTTCATGTATTTCTGCTAGGGCTGTCAGAGTTAATCAGTTACTAGAGTTTTTGTAATTTAAGTGCACAATTGTTTTCTTGTTGTGATTAATCACATTGTCTGAAAGTGTTCAAAATACACTGAATACATCCATAATACATAATCAATACAGCTGAAAACAATGGGATGTCAAAACAAGTTGACATTGAGTTTAAAGAAAGTGTGCTTTATCAATTTACCTGATTTTAATAACTGTCATGACTGACAACTAAAAGGGTGCTTTCAATAATCAGATTTTTTTTGCTCAATTAACTTGATCCATTGTTGAATTGTGGCATGGAGTCTGTAAGGTCGCATCTGAAACACTAAATATAATGTACAGATGACCGCCCCCACTTAATGCCTGTATTTGAAAAGAAGGTCTTGTGAACATCAAATGGATACTTACAATGCAGATTCCTTCACCTTTTCCATTTTCAGACTAACAAATTGACAGTTAACCTGTGGATAAGGTCCTGAGCCCCGCCCACAGCCTCGCCTCCAACTGACAGAGCGGTCGTTACAATTTTGGGGTTTAGCAAGATTCTTATTTTGACATTATAAAGAAAAACCTTTGTAAACAACGGCAGCTATCACACTGTCATATTGATCTGAGCCTTACTGTTGGAAAACCCCTACAGCATACGACTTTTGGCTGTCGCAGATGCACCTCCCCTGTCGACTTCTGTCTGTAGTCATCTGTTGTCGTCTTCAGTAGCCTTACAGCACGAACACACCCAACATGTAGGTACATGTTTTTGCAGAAAGCTCCAGCTCTGGCTGGCAGAAAGAACCGGATGAGCAGGAAAGGTAAAGAACAGAGCAGGGCTGTTACTTTCAGTTACATCGTGTTCACTGATTTATGAAATTTATAAAAAGGACTTAAATCTTTTTGAAAATCAAGATTCGAAACAACAACAACTACTACTACGAAACAAGTGGGATCACTAACAGTATATCATTTTATATTGACTTCACTGCTGTACGTTTCTAAAGGGAAAGTTAATCTTGATCTCGGAAGCCATTACAGAGGATTGACTGGAGTGATAACACCATGGATTCGAAAGCTAAGGAGCTTCTCTCTTGGTCTGCAAGCTCTGTGGTGCCTGGAGGAGGAATCACAGCTGCCAGGCTGTTCCACATCATGAGGGACCAGACAGTGACTGTCATCATCATGGACAACCGTAGCGGCAGGGACTTTGAGGAGTCCCATATCCATGTCCCCATACAGATCTGCATCAGCATCCCTGAGGAGGCTATCAACCCAGGGATCACTGTGAACCAGATCGCGGCCAGGCTGCCGGAAGCTTCCAGAGAACAGTGGAAGAGACGGGGGTTCGTAGACTACATCATATTACTGGACTGGTTCAGCTGTGTCACTGACCTCAGACTGGGGACCCCACTCAAGAGCCTCAAAGACGCTCTCTACAAGTGGGACAGCACCACAGATCTCCACAGAGAACCCCTGGTTCTGGAGGGAGGCTATGAGAACTGGTTGCTCTTCTACCACATGTACACGACCAACGCCAAAGTCAGACCCCCCCGACCAAAAGCCTGAGCGTGAACTGCGTGAACTGCCCCCCCCCCCTATGGCCAAATACAGCATTCCCCAGGCCACCTGCCCAACCTGCCCCTGCCAAGACCACTAAGCCCAGTCCTGACGTGTATGCCAAGATGGAGATCGTCAAGCTGTCGGCAGCTAAGATCCGTAACCTAGACCCTGTGGATGGAGGGTTGGGTGCCATGCTGACGGGACTGTGTGACAGCAGGACCTGTTACATGAACTGCATCCTGCAGTGTCTATGTAACATCCTAGCCATGGCTGAGTACTTCACCAATAACTACTACCAGGAAGATATTAACAGGACCAATATCCTGGGCCATAAGGGGGAAGTAGTGGAGGAGTTTGGGGTGATAATGAAGGCTATGTGGTCTGGCCTGTATAAGTGTATCAGCCCCAGGGACTTCAAGTTTACCATGGGAAAGGTTAACGAACAGTTTGCTGGCAACGAACCACGGGATGCAAGGGAGTTAATGCATTGCCTCCTAGATGGGCTACACGAGGACCTCAATAAGGGTGACACTAGTAAGCTGTACCAATGGGAAGTGAATGACCACCACCTGGATGACCAAAGGGCAGCCGACCTGGCCTGGAGCAGACACAAGCTGCGGAATGAGTCCATCATCGTAGCTCTGTTCCACGGTCAGTTGAAGATCACTGTCCAGTGTCTCACCTGTCAACACAAGACACGCACCTTCGAGACCTTCGATTACCGCATCCTGCCACTGGCTTCATCTAACAAGTGCTCCCTACACGACTGTCTGAAGCTGTCCAGTAGAGAGGAAAAGCTAGATAACCATGACAAGGTGTTCTGCAGTCACTGCAAAGCCTTAAGAGACTCCATGAGGAAAGGGGAGATCTGGAAGGTTCCGCCCATCCTAGTGGTTTACTTACTTCGATTGACCTGCGATGGCAGAGAGATGCGGAAACTCCAGACCAACGTTGACTTCCCTCTGGAGAACCTGGACCTGACCCAGTATGTCATTGGTCCAAAACAGAGGCTCAAGAAATACAACCTGTTTACAGTCTCTAATCACTATGGGGGTCTGGATTATGGCTACTACACAGCCTTCTGTAAGAACACCATCAAACATCAGTGGTACCAGTTTCAAGACAAGGATGTTTCAGACATCTCCACCTCCTCAGTCAAGTCCTCTGCCGCTTGCATCTTATTCTACTCCTCTCTGTGAGGGGCGGAAGGACACACAGGGTAGTTTGTACAGTACATGTGTGTGTGTGTGTGTGTGAGAGATCTGAGCCCCACCTGTTTAGCTAAAAAAAACAAAAATGTTTTGTTGTTGTTGTTGTTGTTTCCTGTTTTTCACGTTATTTTGGCATTAATACGTGTCACATATCAGTTTGAAAACAATGTATTTTTTAAAATCTTTGAGTCTCTTTTTTGCTTTCTTGAGTAAGGCAGCTCCAAAATGCAGGTGTTTCAGCCTAGCTCAGTGCTTTATGTGGTGGTATGGCAGCCATTGGACAATACGGAGTGTAGGGGTTGGTATTGTTCTCTAGTTGTGCCGTGATTGGCTCAGTGTTCTGTCACTCGTGGGGACACTAAGTCACCACAAAATCTACGAGAAGAGCTCGAAAATTCAATTCTGGGTTTAAGGGTCTCTTTTCCAAGCTTAAAAGGATAAACATTCAACACCATGGGCTAGTTGAATACATTGGCCATGCTGTCAATCCAGCATGACTTCTGTCGCGTTCAAAACAACTGGAAACTCGGAACTCAGAATTCCAAGTCGGGAACTCGGGCCTCTTTCTAGAGCTCTGACCTGAAAATCACTGACGTCATGATTCAACCTTGTTTTTTTCAGAGTTCCCAGTTGTCTTGAAAGCACCATAAATCCAGAGAATGGCAGACTTTGATGACAGTTTGATGACCTTCCTGTTCAAGTCAGCACAGCACAACAAGGTGAGTCCAAAAATGTATTGTATGCTGCTGCTTAAATGATGTAATATGTCAGGGAGATATGTATACTGTAGCTAAGAAAGTAATACTAAGTGTATGTTGTGTAGTAAACTGTCAGTAGCCCATGTGCCTCACCCTAATAATTTGGACCCTTTCCCCGTCATAACTTAGCCTACTGTTCTGACTTGGTGGTGTACATGTAACCTATAGCCTGTTTTAGAGAAATGTAATCATCAAATATTGTAAGAGCTTTCATTGTCTGCTTACAGTTGAAGTCAGAAGTTTACATACACCTTAGCCAAATACATTTCAACTCAGTTTTTCACAATTACTGACATTTAGTCCTAGTAAAAATTTCCTGTCTTAGGTCAGTTAGGATCACCACTTTATTTTAAGAATGTGAAATGTCAGAAAAATAGTAGAGAGAATGATTTATTTCAGCTTTTATTTCTTTCATCACATTCCCAGTGGGTCATACGTTTACATACACTCAATTAGTATTTGGTAGCATTGCCTTTAAATTGTTTAACTTGGATCAAATGTTTCGGGTAGCCTTCCACAAGCTTCCCACAATAAGTTGGGTGAATTTTGGCCCATTCCTCCTGACAGAGCTGGTGTAACTGAGTCAGGTTTGTAGGCCTCCTTGCTCGCACACACTTTTTCAGTTCTGCCCACAAATTTTCTATAGGATTGAGGTCAGGGCTTTGTGATGGCCACTCCAATACCTTGACTTTGTTGTCCTTAAGCCATTTTACCACAACTTTGGAAGTATGCTTGGGGTCATTGTCCATTTGGAAGACCCATTTGCGACCAAGCTTTAACTTCCTGACTGATGTCTTGAGATGTTGCTTCAATATATCCACATCATTTTCCTTCCTCATGATGCCATCTATTTTGTGAAGTGCACCAGTCCCTCCTGCAGCAAAGCACCCCCACAGCATGATGCTGCCACCCCCGTGCTTCACGGTTGGGATGGTGTTCTTCGGCTTGCAAGCCACCCCCTTTTTCCTCCAAACATAACGATGGTCATTATGGCCAAACAGTTCTATTTTTGTTACATCAGACCAGAGGACATTTCTCCAAAAAGTATGATCTTTGTCCCCATGTGCAGTTGCAAACCGTAGTCTGGCTTTTTTATGGCGGTTTTGGAGCAGTGGCTTCTTCCTTGCTGAGCGGCCTTTCAGGTTATGCCGATATAGGATTGTGGATATAGATACATTTGTACCTGTTTCCTCCAGCATCTTCACAAGGTCCTTTGCTGTTGTTCTGGGATTTATTTGCACTTTTCGCACCAAAGTACGTTCATCTCTAGGAGACAGAACGCGTCTCCTTCCTGAGCGGTATGATGGCTGCGTGGTCCCATGGTGTTTATACTTGCGTACTATTGTTTGTACAGATGAACGTGGTACCTTCAGGCGTTTGGAAATTGCTCCCAAGGATGAACCAGACTTGTGGAGGTCTACAATTATTTTTCTGAGGTCCTGGCTGATTTCTTTTGATTTTCCCATGATGTCAAGCAAAGAGGCACTGAGGTTGAAGGTAGGCCTTGCAATACATCCACAGGTACATCTCCAATTGACTCAAATGATGTCAATTAGCCTATCAGAAGCTTCTAAAGCCATGACATCATTTTCAGGAATTTTCCAAGCTGTTTAAAGGCACAGTCAACTTAGTGTATGTAAACTTCTGACCCACTGGAATTGTGATACAGTGAATTATAAGTTAAATAATCTGTCTGTAAACAATTGTTGGAAAGATGACTTGTGTCATGCACAAAGTAGATGTCCTAACCGACTTGCCAAAACTATAGTTTGTTAAAAATAAATTTGTGGAGTGGTTGAAAAACGAGTTTTAATGACTCCAACCTAAGTGTATGTAAACTTCGGACTTCAAATGTATATGCACCCTTTATTTATCCTACGGTTCTGACTTGGTGTACAGGGAGAATACCGTAAGAACGGCCCATGTTCTGAATTCTGTCACTGTACATTTCAAAAGTGCTGAACAAATAGTTATATTGGCTATGTCCGTCCTAGCTCGCTCATTAATGTCTTCATCGAAATTACGGATTGCCTCTTATCCGTTCGTCGTCCCCTTATGTCATAGTTTGTACATCCCAATTGTCAGTAGAAACCACATTTGTTTAAGCAAGTCAGACATGTCAGCTATGTTTTTTTTAAAGGGAGTAAATGAGGCTGAATGAACTATTTCACTGCCAGACAAGGCTCTGCTGATAGCCAGGTGTAGCAGTGGTAAGGACTCACTTCATGGTGCTGAAAAGAAAGCTCTGCTGTTGGGACAGCTTTATGTAGGCCCTAACAGTTTGTGGGCACTGCTTGTCACCGTTATAGTGCAATGAATGTATTGTTTAGTGTTGTGTTCTGTAGTGGCTTTGCTGACATGCATCTAACAATTTTTTGCCCCACCAAGTTTGCCCCACCAAGAATTACATGCTAAAATCGCTACTGCCCCCCAAAATATATATGTTTATATAAATGTTACCGTACATGTAGACGTCCAGTCATTGCGCTAATGCTGGTTAGCATTGGCTTGCGAAACTACCACTAACTTCCTTCATAATGCACGCAGAGACATAAAAATGGTGTCCACAAGTTCATCTGACGCTGGGTAAGTAGAACAAGAACAATGCAAGAATCTCATAGTATCCCTTTAAATAAAGATATCCTATGAATTATCCATGAGGTGCAAGCCCTTATTGAACCTACTTTCCCTTTTATAATTCTGTTTTTTCTAAGGTTCAATGGCGGTAAAACACAATTCTGATTTCAATGTTTTACCATAAACCTATGTTTCACAATTCACTGTGTGGTTCTTATAATTAGTTTATATAAATGTAATGATAAATGTGCAGTGATACGATTTAACAATGCTATGTGTGAGGACAGGCTGACCGAATGAATGTGCGATGGTAGGCCTTTCCCGACTGCAAACAAATGCTACAAAAAAGACCATGGAACAAAAAAGATCATGGAATAAGTGGATGCATGGATTTTATGAGCAGCGCAAACAATACACAGGAAAGTATAACATGATATCTGATATGTGCCGGCATGATTGTTACTGAGAGATAAACATGAATGAAATGAGTACTGGTGCTTCAGACCTCTTGCTCTATACATTATGGCCCAGCATTATTACGTTTATTATTACTCTGATGTTGTTGTTGTGCTTACCCTGAAACCCCAGTGACCTCAACTGTTTGCATGGACATGAATCCTAATTCCAGTGTACAACCAAGGATAAGGGTTGTCCTGGAACAACCTTAGCCTGGCCATCCTTTTGGATTCATGGCCCCCGTGTCCAGAAAGGCCAGTTTACTCTATTTAATCGCAGAAGTCTTTATGTGAAAACCCAGTAGGGTCAAAAGGGCAACAGAGTCGATGAAGCTTGATTTAAAGATAAACGGTCACAGCTGCAAAAACCCTACAAAGGATCCATTGGGCTGTGCTCTGTTGGAGAGAGTGTAACTCACTATGTAGCTTTGCAAGAATGAGTTTGTGCATGTTTTGCTTGAGGGTGCGTGTGATTGGCTATGTGCCTGTGTAAATATGAGGAGAAAATATTTGCGGCTGTGAAAATATAAGTGAGAAGTGAGACTGATACAAGCGGTACCGGAGTGCCAAGTCTAGGACCAAAAGGCTCCTTAACAGCTTCTACCCCTAAGCCATAAAACTTCTGAACAATTAATCAAATGGCCACCCGGACTATTTACATTGACCCCCCCATTTGTTTTTACACTGCTGCTACCCGCTGTGTATTATCTATGTATCGTCACTTTACCCCTACCTACATATACAAATTACCTCGACTAACCTGTACTGCCGCACATTGACTCGGTACCGGTACCCCCTGCATATAGCCTCGTTATTGTTATTTATTGTGTTACTTTTTTAAAAATGTTTTACTTTAGTTTATTTGGTAAATATTTTCTTAACTCTTTCTTGAACTGCATTGTTGGTTAAGGGCTTGTAAGTAAACATTTCACGGTAAGGTCTACACCTGTTGTATTCCGCGCATGTGATAAATAAAGTTTGATCTGATTTGATTTGATTTTGAACTCATGTCACTTCTATCACATATTCCCTGTATTTTATGAGCACTACTCTCTCGTGGACAGACCAAATTACGCCAGATTTTAGTTCTGGGTTAACCAAGATTATATGAGCACTAATGTCCTAACGCTTTCAAGTAATTCGCTCCAACTACTACGTCATGTGTTGTCTCTGTTCATGTGATGGTCACAGAGGACATGTGATCACTCAGAGGAGGCCAGTGAGAGGAGCTATAGGGAGGAAGGGCTGGAATGGAATCAATAGAATGGTACCAAACACATCAAACACATGGAAACAATGCGTTTGACTCCATTCCATTAATTCCATTCCAGCCATTATAATGATCCCGTTCTCCTATAGCTCCTCCCACCAGCTTTCTCTGTGATCACTATACCCCTGAGCCACGCACACAGTGTTTATTACTTACTGGCCAGTGCAGTCAGAACAAAAGCAGGAAATGGTGTTCTCTGTAGGTCAAAGGTCCCCCTTTCTTCTGACCCAGGGGTCACACAAGCATATTTTCATTAGTTCTTCATCCAGACTTGTCATCTCCTTAGATTCACTTTCGATCCGATATTATCATATATGATAGGTTAAAAGGAAGTTAACAGCGTTTCCTGGTCAAAATCTGCATTAGGGTTACTAAGCAATGAGGGAACTTAATTCCGTCCTTCAGAGGACCGTGGCAACCTGACTAGTCAAACATTCCCTTTCATTTCATGGATCAGTTGTCACCAATGGGATGTGTTACCTCCACAGTGTGAGACTAGGATAAACGTGCACGCGTTGACCTCATTTAACACAGGGCAGCCTGCAGTCTCATTCTCTGTGAGCATGGCCAAGCAACAGACAAGGAGTCAGGAAAAGAAACAACTTGACCCAGTTATCTTTAATAAATGTATTAAAATGTTAGTCTGAAAATGTAGGTTACCATAACAGTATACTCATGGCAAATATCAAACAGGGCGATGTTAACTAATTAAATAGTATTTTTGACTGCATTTATGCTAATTTCCCCCCCAAAATCCAACCCATCCCAAAGTTTGATAAGGTGACCATAGTTGCATTGTTCATAGGTCTGGCCACATCAGCCTGCGTTGGACATGGACTATGACTCTGTGAGGATATTGATGTAGCCACGTGTCCATCCTCAGCTGTGACCATTGACCTTTGCCTGCTCCAGTACTGTGAGAAGTACTGTATCTCTTCAATCGCTAGTCCATTATGACATGCTGCCACTTCCTGTTATGTAAGGTCCTGGTGCATTACTACCTGGTAAGTCCTGGATGTGTGCACCACTTTCAGAGTCATCTGATCCAGAGGAATCAACTCATCTGGTGTTTGGTCTGACGGGACCTCCTCATGTGTCTGTAGATGATGAAGTCTTACTTCTTCATCATCTCCTGATGTACATGGTCCCGGCATCCCTTCTTGGGCATATGATATTGTTGCATCAAGGTCTTGTGAATAACTTCCAAGTATAGGGCCACCATTTCCTACTTCATCACTCTCTGGTGTGTGTGGCTGTGGTCCATCATTGCCTGGTGTTTGTGGTTTGATTGTGTCACCATCTAGCTCCTCACTCAGTAGCGACTGTGATCGTGGTGAAGAACATCCTGCTGTCTCTGGAACATCGCTTGCCAATTCATCCGGTCTTGGAGTATATGGCTGTGTTATGTCACCCTCTAGTGTATGTGGTCCAGATATGTACAATCCTTGGCTATGTGGTCTATGTTCATTTGTTCCTGTTTCATCCAGACCTGCTCCATTTTGTTGGTGTAAAGTTGACCCAATCATGATTATTGCTGTATCTACAACACAAGAATATAGCATTTTACCAAACACAGTCATCCTCCTCAAGAACAGTTTAAAACAAGCTGACTGTTATGTGTCAAACTCATTCCATGGAGGGCCTAGTGTCTGTGGGTTTTTGTTTTTTCCTTTCAATTAAGACCTAGACAACCAGGTGAGGGGAGTTCTTTACTAATCAGTGACCTTATTTCATCAATCAAGTACAAGGGAGGAGTGAAAACCCGCAGACACTCGGTCCTCCATGGAATGAGTTTGACACGTGCTCTAGTCACCTCAAACTCAACTCTGGACCACAAAGCCAGTTCCGCTGCTTTTTTTCATTGTTCCCCTCTAATCAGGAACTTAGACCAGGGACACCAGGTGGATGTAATTCATTATCAGGTAAAACAGAGAACCCAAAGGCTCCTGTAAGAGTTGAATACCCCTGCGCTATGGTTACCTGCATGTGAGGGTCTCATTACAGGCAATGGTCGTCCATCTTTCCAATTATATGTTGTTTGCTTTCCTACAGGACAGATAGGTGAAAATACAATCAGGTGTACAGCTTTGTCTTTTGGGTAGTATAATTATGAAAATTATATTTAGAGGTGTGTAGTCACTTACCTCTGTGCCTTAGACACCGTGGAAGGGCCACAGTAACTGTGAAGACAAAGAAGGCGACAGAGGCTGCTGTGCCCCACCATGACCTCTCACTGTTCTGCTCATCCTCCACTGTGAAACAGACATTGTGATTCCTCATTAACTATCTGCTTGTATTGGCGTGTTTGTAATAATATACTCTATATGAATAGTGTAAAGAACATATACATATTTAATGAATGTGCACCTACCTATTGGAGTAACTGTGATGTTGACCTGGGTTTGGACCATGTGTCTCCTCTGGAAGCCTGTGAATGTACAGGTGTAGGTTCCTGAGTGTTCCTGACTCTCTGGGTTGTGAAGGAGGAGGGATCCGTTGCCCATCAGAACCTGGTCCTGCTCCAGTCCAGCCCGGCCCTCCCAGAGGTTGGAGGTCCGCCTGATTCTGCTGTCATAGCTGAGGATGAGTGTGGGATCATTGGTTCTGGTGAAGGTCCAGGTGAGGGAGAAGTTCTGGAGGTTCTGTGGAGCAATGCAGGGTATGGACAGCTCTTGCCCCGTCTCTCCAATCAATTCCACTGCAAGATGAAACATGTCACAAGTCATGTGTCAATCAGTGATGTAGTGGAGGGTAAACAATGATCGTTGTTCGTGATGAGTAAAGTAGCGCTCCTTATCCTTTCAATGCATTTTTGCGCAAAAGGTGGGTCAACGCTCGCACAAAAAAAAGGTGAGTAAACAGCGTTTAAGTGACTTTACCCTCCACTACACCACTGGTGTCAATTATATCTCTCCCCTTTGTCAACAACTTCATACAATTCAACCATATGGAAGTGATTCTAAGCTGGTAACCATTTTTATGAGTCACATATTTTACATCTCTTTAAATGTCACTATATCTCCGGACATGTTGGTTTTCTCTAGAGACACGAAAAGAACAGACTGACCAGTAATTAGGGGTTCACAGCAAAGCTATAGTTATTGTCTGAATTCTTATTAAAAATAAATCCTTGACATGGTCAAATAGCTCAAGCATACACAGTCTACAAAACATTAGGAACACCTGCTCTTTCCATGACATAGACTGACCAAGTGAATCAAGGTGAAAAGCTATGATCCCTTGTTTATGTCACTTGTTAAATCCACATCAATCAGTGTAGATGAAGTGGCGCAGCGGTCTAAGGCACTGCATCGCAGTGCTAACTGTGCCACTAGAGATCCTGGTTCGAATCCAGGCTCTGTTGCAGCCGGCCGCGACCGGGAGACTCATGGGCGGCGCACAATTGGCCCAGTGTCGTCCAGGGTAGGGGAGGGAATGGCCGGCAGGGATGTAGCTCAGTTGATAGAGCATGGCGTTTGCAACGCCAGGGTTGTGGGTTCGTTTCCCACGGGGGGCCAGTATAAAAAAATATATATATGTATTCACTAACTGTAAGTCGCTCTGGATAAGAGCGTCTGCTAAATGACTAAAATGTGACGTAAATGTAATGAAGGGAAGGAGACAGGTTAAAGAAGGATTTTTGAGACAATTGAGACATGGATTGTGCATGTGTACCATTCAGAGGGTGAATGGGCAAGACAAAATATTTAAGTGCCTTTGAAAGGGGTATGGTAGTAGGTGCCAGGCGCACCGGTTTGAGTGTGTCAAGAACCACAACACTGTTGGGTTTTTCATGTTCAACCGTTTCCTGTGTGTTTCAAGAATGGTCCATCTCCCAAAGAACATCCAGCCAACTTGACACAACTGTGGGAAGCATTGGAGTCAACATGGGCCATCGTCCATGTGGAACGCTTTCGACACCTTGTAGATTCCATGCCCCAACGAATTGAGGCTATTCTGAGGGCAAAAGGGGGTGCAACTCATTATTAGGAAGGTGTTCCTATTGTTTTGTAAACTCAGTGTAGATTGTTAACTTTTTTTTCTAATTTGGCACACAGAAACTAGAGGCTATGAGTAACTTGGTAAAAAATTATAGCACCCGGGTACTGTTATAAACTCTCATATCCGTTGCCCTGTTTGACCTAGAGACTTTGTATGTAGGTGTCTTTCCCTCAAGGACCCATAAGGTGCAGCAGGGTAGATTTAGCTCCATCTGGGAAATAACACCACATTTGGTATGTAGGCCCATGGTGCATCTTTTAACTTAGTTTGAGAAAAATTAAGGGATTGGTTAAGAGATGGTTCAGTTATTGATAAATCAGGGAATCAGATTTTACATGTCCATTTAAATCATTTTAAAATCCACTCCACAATAGCCTATCAACTTGAAACATTTTAGGGTCATCAAAGACATAAACATTATGAACCATGTTAAGTTTGGCATATTAAAAAATAAGGACACTTAACAATTCACTTTTTTGACAATGTAATGCTAATGCCTAAGATAATCATAAAAAATCTTAATCTCATGGACTATAAATTTAGTAATTGGACTAATCACAATAGTCCCTAAAGAGTTTGAGAAAATAACATTGATGCATTTAAATATGGCCACACTATACCAGTAGATGCATATTAGCGCGTACGCTAATATGCAAAAATACTTTTAAAATAATGTAGAAATCTTCTCATGAACCATAGGACCAAATGACACCAAATGGCCTATGGTACATGTCTTAACTTAGTTTGAGAACAGCTAAGGGATTGGTCAAAAGATGGCTGAGTTATTGACAAATTAAAACAAATCTGATTTTGGTCCATTTAAATCACTGTAAATCCACTCTACAGTGGCCTATCAACTTGAAACGTGTCATACAGCACTAGACTAAACTTCACTTGAGCCATCCTCGTGCTATTGAGAGATAAACATGGTGATGCTTTCACTGATTGTACATAAAGGAAGAGTTCCTACATGTACAGTGCTTGCTTTGTTATCCAACTGATCTTCTGTCCTTTCTGTCATCCTGTTAACCCCGTTCATTGCTGCTCACAGCTATATTACCTAGTTCCTGTTCCAAGGAGCATTTCAAATACAAGCTTAGTCAGTTCTTTGTAAAATGCATTTTAGACTATATCAAGGAGAGAACAGCTAGTTCACTGTGAATTTCTGAGAGACCTGGTTTTATAAACATAACACTGCGTCCAAGGATGTTGATCCATACCTTGCTGCCTCAGAGAGACTGTCCACACCTGGACCTTGTCTGCAGAGATGACAGAGCAGAAGTAGGCGTGGTCAGAGACATTACCCACGATCCTCACTGTGCTCTCCACTGTGTACAGCCCCTTGGAGTCGGGGGTTTTGATGGTGGAGTTCTGTAGTGTTTCTGGACCAGACGGTGGGTCTGTGGTCCATGCCACCTGAGGGGCAGGATAGATGTTCTGAGATGAACAGGAGACCACCTCCCCAGTCATCTCTATTCTCACTGACTGGATTAGAGCTGAAAAAGAGAAAACATTGTTCTTGATAGTATTGAATAAAGTATGAAGCTTGAGTTTTTTTTCAAACATTGATAACATTAATTTACTAGCCCTCTAGAAGGGGTTTACATGTCCAATCATGGCATATCAGTAATTTTCTACTGTTCTATTGCATTTTTAGTATGACAACTTCGGCATTCATGGATATATGACATCATAGAGAGTGGGGTAAGTTGAGTGAAAGGGTTAGTTGAGCCACCCATTGTTTCTAGTAAACCATACACAAAATTAATAATTTGACCCAATATTTAGGGAGAGGTCATCATTTCATGGAGTCTGTGAAGTAAAAAAACACATGGAAAAAATGGTAAGCAAGTTAGGTAAAAAAAGTCAAATTACTGTATTGTTAGAGGTTTCATGATGCTTGTATCTAAACCAAAGTACAGTGGGGGAAAAAAGTATTTAGTCAGCCACCAATTGTGCAAGTTCTCCCACTTAAAAAGATGAGAGAGGCCTGTAATTTTCATCATAGGTAAACGTCAACTATGACAGACAAAATGAGAAAAGAAAATCCAGAAAATCACATTGTAGGATTTTTTATGAATTTATTTGCAAATTATGGTGGAAAATAAGTATTTGGTCAATAACAAAAGTTTCTCAATACTTGTTATATACCCTTTGTTGGCAATGACACAGGTCAAACGTTTTCTGTCTTCACAAGGTTTTCACACACTGTTGCTGGTATTTTGGCCCATTCCTCCGTGCAGATCTCCTCTAGAGCAGTGATGTTTTGAGGCTGTCGCTGGGCAACACAGACTTTCAACTCCCTCCAAAGATTTTCTATGGGGTTGAGATCTGGAGACTGGCTAGGCCACTCCAGGACCTTGAAATGCTTCTTACGAAACCACTCCTTCGTTGCCCGGGCGGTGTGTTTGGGATCATTGTCATGCTGAAAGACCCAGCCACGTTTAATCTTCAATGCCCTTGCTGATGGAAGGAGGTTTTCACTCAAAATCTCACGATACATGGTCCCATTCATTCTTTCCTTTACACGGATCAGTCGTCCTGGTCCCTTTGCAGAAAAACAGCCCCAAAGCATCATTTTGACCCCACGGGGTGAGATCTTGCGTGGAGCCCCAGATCGAGGGAGATTATCAGTGGTCTTGTATGTCTTCCATTTCCTAATAATTGGTCCCACAGTTGATTTCTTCAAACCAAGCTGCTTACCTATTGCAGATTCAGTCTTCCCAGCCTGGTGCAGGTCTACAATTTTGTTTCTGGTGTCCTTTGACAGCTCTTTGGTCTTGGCCATAGTGGAGTTTGGAGTGTGACTGTTTGAGGTTGTGGACAGGTGTCTTTTATACTGATAAGTTCAAACAGGTGCCATTAATGCAGGTAACGAGTGGAGGACAGAGGAGCTTCTTAAAGAAGAAGTTACAGGTCTGTGAGAGCCAGAAATTTTGCTTGTTTGTAGGTGACCAAATACTTATTTTCCACCATAATTTGCAAATAAATTCATAAAAAATCCTACAATGTGATTTTCTGGATTTTTTTTCCTCATTTTGTCTGTCATAGTTGACGTGTACCTATGATTAAAATTACAGGCCTCTCTCATCTTTTTAAGTGGGAGAACTTGCACAATTGGTGGCTGACTAAATACTTTTTTCCCCCACTATAGATCATTTTAAGATTGTTCTATACTTCATTTGGGGTATCTATAAGCTTCAATATGTGGTCCTAAACGTAACATGAAAGAGCATTCATGTAGTTGTGTGGGCTAATAAAATCAAAATCTTTGCCTTGGGGTAAGTTGAGCCAATGATTGAGCCAATGGCAAGTTGATCAAATTGAAGTGTTTTTTTCCCAGGCGTAATACAAGGCATTATTGCTGGGAAATTAGGTAACACCAGGGACTGGCCTATGTTAAAAGTGTTTTTTTTTAAGTTCAAAGTGTTTATTAGGTGTTAAGCCTGTGTTAAAGGCCCAGTGCACTCAAAAACGTGATTTTCCTGTGTTTTGTATATATATCCACACCATGAGGTTGGAATGATACTGTGAAATTGTGAAAATTATGATAATGCCATTTTAGTGTAGGAGCTGTTTGAAAAGACAGCCTGAAATTTCAGCCTGTTTTGGTGGGATGGAGCTTTTGCCTGCTTGGTGATACTGTATCACCAGGCAGTAAATTAGTTAATAGACCAATAAGAAAGAGAGTTCCAAACCGCTGGGCCATAACAGCTAGTTTTCAGTTTTCCCCTCACCACTCAGACCATTCCCAGACAGTCCTAGCAAAATGTGTGTTTTATTTTTGACTATTTTAATTGAAAACAATCACAATAAGGTATTTAATTGTTACCCATAAATTATTTGATATTGAAACAAAAATGGCTGCATTGGGCCTTTAAAATATGCTTAGAATGATTAAAAGACAAAGTTATTGTAATTGTGTTGAATTGTGTTTGGGAAATAAAGATAGACATTTTTTTTTTTACGTTAGCGGTAATATTTCATTAAGTACAGAAATGACTAACCCTAAGTTGTGCCAAGAGACCACTTTTTTTGGACAAGCTACAGTATGTTTTCAAAACTGTAATGTTTACATGCATTCAGATTATATCCAGGGATACACAACATCCTGAAATATATATGTAGATATCTTTGTTAGAAATAATACTTTATTTCCCTTGATGGAGTGATGCTGAATGTAAAAAGTGGCTTAACTTACCCCAACTCCCCCCTAAGGTCCTATCACATGACCAAGCCACAGTCCCAGTGGAAACATGGTGTTCCCTGTAGACTACTGCAGGCAGGGCCCAGTCAAGTGTTACAGTGGAAAATAGAGACAGCTTTATTCCCTTCTGCAGTCACGACCGTGAATGAGGGTAGACTAATGAATTAAAGGGCACTAACAAACATGGTCCCACAAAACTGTGTTATACACAATACTAGGCCTAAGCTTTTATGAAACACTACAGACTAACCACACTCCTCTTGGCTCTCCTACAGAGGTCTATCTTATTACACAACAAATAAACGGACACAGTTAACATAGGGATAGTGAGACAGGGATAGGCATGGCTATCAAAGCCTGCCAGCTTTTTAATGCTTTACAAATGTCTGGACAGGATTTGAAACGTGGAATCATACTGATGAATAGAAAGTGGTTTGTGTGAACTGTCCATCAATAAATGTTGCATGCAAGAGGAATAAACTAGGAGACAATAGGGAGATTTTTCACTGACCTTTCACCCCCAGGTTGACAAAGGTCTCCTGGTTCCTCTTCCTGGTGCTGGTGTAGCACTTGTATCTTCCCTTGTCCTGAACTTTTATCCTTTTCAGGAGGAGCGATGCATTGCCATGGGCAATCTGGGAGTTGAACAAGCATGTCCTTCCATTGAAGTTCTTATTCTGCAGTCCATACTGGTCCTTGTTGTAATAGTAGCTGTGAACAGGGATCTGCTGTTTGTACCAGTGGATGACCACGGCACCAGTGGGTTTAAAGCTACAGGGCAGCATGCAGTCCTCATGGAATAAACAGGTCACATAAGCCTCTGAAAAGCAATGTTTGAAAGTTAGAAAGTAGTGGTTTTGAGGAACACTGACAGTATACCATCTATGGATGGTGAGAACATGTCCAAACAGTAAGATGACCAGAATATCAGCATGTTGATTAAAGTAAAATACATGCAATCGACTTGCCTTTTCAGAATATTACAGCACAATTCATGTTCTCCCTTCTAAACTTTCAATGGCCAACAGCAAATACCCAAATATGTTTTCCTCCCAAACAAATCATTTATCTTGTGTTATTTAACATGTAGTCTCTTCTCACAGCAGAGACTTGACAAAAAGTACATGAATCTACGTACAAGTATAATTAGATGTACAATATAGAATAAATGTCCACAACAACATATTAGCATCTATCGATCATTTCTCTGGTGATGTTCAATAAATACATTCAGGAAGGTTAGATGAACAAGTCACTACATTTAGTTTCTTGCTATTACCTGAATCGTCATTCCAAAATAAATATCTCTTATCTTTGCTTGGGATAGTTTTACTGATATTCTCATTCAAAACTATGTACTGGCAGTAAATTCCATTCAATATAAGATCAATACACATACAAACCATATAGTTATTTTTCGACATTCATCGCAACAAAAACCCTCTTAATGGAAATGGAAAAGAATGTCCTAATAAAGTAGAATCCATTAGCACCCTACCTGCCGTTAGGACATTCTGTGGATCACCAAATGGACAAGTAAAATATGTTCTAAAACGAGAGATACACATAGAGCACCAATAACACCGCCTCCTTAGAGCTTAGTTACAGTAGATCAGACAGTTCTCCCCTGAAATATACTGTTCTATTTAGAGAGCGAGAGAGAGGAGGTCAAGTCATACTGTACCTTTGGAGTCAGTCATAGACAATGTCCACAGAAAGATCAGGAGCACAGTGGCAGGTCCATGTGTCAGTGCCATCGCAGAGGGTCTGTGTCCAGATCTTAGTCTCTATTTGTTAGTATTGTGTGTGTGTGTGTGTGTGTGTGTAATGAGCTGTGTGTGTGTGTGTGTGAATCCATGTCAAAGTGGCTGTTACATTGATGAAACAAGGACTTATTAACCAAGCAAGTAAAACTTTAACCTGCCTAACCATGTGTAGACATTAGTTTAGTCTGATTAATCAGGCTTTAATACATCATTAATTGGTATATACAGCATGAAATGTTTGTGTGCAAAATTGTGTAAATGTTCCTTGCAAGCCAGAATATTGAATACAATTTAATTTGAACTTAATCTGCTCTGAGGGTTGTTTTATGGTTTGGTTTGGCACTGAGGTAAAATTAGTTTTATATTGGATATTCTGTTTTCTCTCATCAATAGCTATTGAACCAAGCATGCCATGACAATTCTCAATCAGGGGTGAATGGAGAACAATTCACACCTTGTTTTTGTGATTTCTTACTTTTTTATTCGAAAACAAAGAGGGAAAAAAAAGAAGCGTGGATTGTTCTCCACCATCCCCTCATTCAGAATATACTATTTTCTTTGTCATGGCTGGCTTGGTTACAGGAGGCTGCTGAGGGGAGAACGGCTCATAATAATGGCTTGAATCAAGTTAATGGAAACCATGTGTTTGATGTGTCGATAACATTCCATTGATTCCGTTCCAGCCATTACTATGAGCCCGTCCTCCCTAATTAAGGTGCCACTGGCCGCCTGTGGTATACACTTTGTGCAACTATTCAAGCAGTTGTTCCATTAACCTGCACACCACCCAGGCCAACCTCCTGCTGTCTGCTTCATTACACATTACTCCATTAAGCCAGGCCACAGTAATTGAGTTCACAGACTTATCAACCATACAACTTGTGCCATAAAACTGTGCCTGAGAGTAAGTGTGTGTCTGGCCATTGTTTACCATGTAAAAAAAGGTTGCTGGCATCTAACCCCTCTCCCAAAGTGTTATTTCATCCATGTGAAATCACACCTCAAATATATTATTTATTTATGCACTGAGTATACAAAACATTAAGAACACCTGCTCTTTCCATGACATAGACCCGGGTTGCCCAACCCTGTTCCTGGAGAGCTACCCTCCTGTAGGTTTTCGCTCCAACCCCAGGTGTTACTAACCTGATTCATCTTATCAACCTGCTAATTATTAGAATCAGGTGTGCTAGATACAGGACGGTAGCTCTCCAGGAACAGGGTTGGGCAGTCCTGACACAGACTGACCAGGTGAATCCAGGTGAAAGCTATGATCCCTTATTGATATAACTTGTTAAATACACTTAAATCTGTGTAGATGAAGGGGAGGAGACAGGTTAAAGAAGGATTTTTAAGCCTTGAGACAATTGAGACATGGATTGTGTATGTGTGCCATTCAGAGGGTGAATGGGCAAGACAAAAGATTGCCTTTTCAAAGTGTCTTTGAACGGGGTATGGTAGTAGGTGCCAGGCGCACCAGTTTGAGTGTGTCAAGAACTGCAACGCTGCTGGGTTTTTAATGCTCAACAGTTTCCCGTGTGTATCAAGAATGGTCCACCACCCAAAGGACATCCAGCCAACTTGACACAACTGTGGGAAGCATTGGAGTCAACATGGGTCAGCATCCCTGTGGAACGCTTTCGACACCTTGTAGAGTCCATGCCCTGACGAATTGAGGCTGTTCTGAGGGAAAAAGGAAAGTGTTCCTAATGTTTGGTATACTCAGTGTATATAGTTCGACAGGGACTGCCACAGAAGAGTTGACACTGCAGGAATCATCCACAGCATGTGATCAGCCATCACCTTGGTTATACCTGTAATTGGAAATATCATGGTCATTTTACTTTTGATGTTCATCCTCTATATCTTTGATTGTTCCTTCTACATGTTACCTGCCGTGAGTCGTCTGGCTGTGATGTTGACCTGGGTTTGGACCATGTGTCTCCTCTGGAAGCCTGTGAATGTACAGGTATAGGTTCCTGTGTGTTCCTGACTCTCTGGGTTGTGAAGAAGGAGGGATCCGTCTCCCATCAGAACCTGGTCCTGCTCCAGTCCAGCCTGGCCCTCCCAGAAGTTGGAACTCCGTCTGGTTTTGCTGTCGTAGCTGAGGACGAGTGTGGGATCATTGGTTCTGATGAAGGTCCATGTAAGGGAGAAGTTCTGGAGGTTCTGTGGAGCGATGCAGGGTATGGATAGCTCTCGCCCTGCCTCTCCAATAAATTCCTCTGAAATAGAGACACATTCAAGTGTCACTGGCTAGTTTTGTCCAACTTTTTTTGGCCTTTATATTGTTATGGTGGACTTTGATAAATGGGTGAAGGATCTGAATACCTGTCTGCTTTATGGAGGTGGTCCACACCTGGGCCTTGTCTGCAGAGATGACAGAGCAGAAGTAGGCGTGGTCAGAGACATTACCCAGAATCCTCACTGTGCTCTCCACTGTGTACAGACCCTTGGAGTCTGGGGTTTTAACGGTGGAGTTCTGCAGTGTTTCTGGGCCAGACGATGGGTCTGTGGACCATGCCACCAGAGGGGCAGGATAGATGTTTTGAGATGAACAGGAGACCACCTCCCCAGTCATCTCCATTCTCACTGACTGGATGAGAGCTGCAAAAAAGAAAGAAGTGTTCTCTGTTTAATAAATTAAGTCACAAGAGTTAAAGGCCCAGTGCAGTCAAAAAAATAGATTTTTCCTGTGTTTTATATACACTACATCACAAAAAGTATGTAGACACCCCTTCAAATTAGTGGATTCGGCTATTTCAGCCACACCCGTCGCTGACAGGTATATAAAATCGAGCACACCGACATGCAATCTCCATAGACAAACATTGGCAGTAGAATGGCCTGTACTGAAGAGCTTAGTGACTTTCAACGTAGCACCGTCATAGGATGCCACCTTTCCAATAAGTCAGTTCGGCATATTTCTGCCCTGCTAGAGCTGCCCCTGTCAACTGTAAGTGCTGTTATTGTGAAGTGGAAACGTCTAGGAGCAACAACAGCTCAGCCGCGGAGTGGTATGCCACACAAGCTCACAGAACGGGACCGGCGAGTGCTTTAGTGCGTAGCGCTTAAAAATTGTCTGTCCTCTACCGAGTTCCAAACTGCCTCTGGCAGCACAAGAACTGTTCGTCAGGAGCTTCATGAAATGGGTTTCCATAGCCGAGCAGCCGCACACAAGCCTAAGATCACAATGCGCAATGCCAAGCGTTGGCTTGAGTGGTGTAAAGCTCACTGCCATTGGACTCTGGAGCAGTGGAAACGCGTTCTCTGGAGTGACGAATCACGCTTCCCCATCTGGCAGTCCGACGGACGAATCTGGGTTTGGCGGATACCTGCCCCAATGCATAGCGCCAACTGTAAAGTTTGATGGAGGAGGAATAATGGTCTGGGGCTGTTTTTCATGGTTCGGGCTAGGCCCCTTAGTTCCAGTGAAGGGAAATCTTAATGCTACAGCATACAATGAAATTCTAGATGATTATGTGCTTCCAACCTTTTGGCAACAGTTTGGGGAAGGCCCTTTCCTGTTTCAGCATGACAATGCCCCGTGCATAAAGCGATGTCTATACAGAAATGGTTTGTCGAGATCGGTGTGGAAGAACTTGACTGGCCTGCACAGAGCCCTGAAGAGTGGAGGCTGTTATAGCAGCAAAGGGGGGACCAACTCGATATTAATGCCCATGATTTTGGAATGAGATGTTCGACAAGCAGGTGTCCACATACTTTTGGTCATGTAGTGTATATTTACACACTACGAGGCTGGAATAATACTGTGATATTGTTTAAAAATACTGAAATTTCAGCCTGTTTTGGTGGGATTGAGTATTAGCCTGCATGGTGAATGTTTTGCATGTCATCAATCAAGTTTTCAAGATACAATATATCATGCCACGTTCACGTGCTGGTCGGTAACTAGGAAACTCTGAAATGTCTGACTTGCTAACTGGTTGTAGTTATACATGTTCAACGAATCAGCAAGTCAGAAATGTCAGAGTTTCCTAGTTCCGACTAGTTTCGAATGCGGCATAACTTTCAAAATACAGAAATACATGGTATGATGCATTTTGCATTGTATGATGCTGCGTTTTGCATCACATGACGCAGCATGCACCATACCGGCTATATTTCTGTACTTTGAAAGTTATATACTTAAACTTGATTGTTGACATGCAAAAAAAATTGGGACTATATCAACAATGGACTAATGAAACAAATACCAAAATATAGTTTTTGGGTGGAACTTTCCTTTAATAGACCAACAAGAAAGAGTTCCAAAGCTCTTTGCCAATAACAGCTAGTTTTCCCCTCCTCACTCAGACCACTCCCAGACAGTCCTAGCAAAATTCTTGCTTGAGAAATCGCTCTTTGCTAAGAAGCCATTTTGTTTCTTGTTGACCATTTTAATTGAAAACAATCACTGTAAGGCACTTAATTATTACCCAGAAATTATCTGATATTGAGATAAAAACGTCTGCATTGGACCTTTAACAACCTCTGAAAAAAAGTGTAAAATGAAAATTCTTAATTCGCATGATGAAACAAAGCACTACTTACTATTGGGACAGTGACAATTATATTTGTGACGGTATTATATTTGTGCGTCTGTAACTTTATCACTCATCATTATTCACGATTCATTCAGGATTATCCGTAATCATGGTAGCATCCACATGAATGTAGAAGTGTTTAGAAACATATTATATTCTTATTTACAATAAAAGTGACTCTAAAATGACAATACATTATTTACCATTAATTTCTATTGGGCACTGAAACACAACCAAAACAAACAGAAAATGCCTCCAACCATTTTGTAGAGTCACATGCTTGATGTAGTCATTGTGTGCTATGAATATGGGACCAAATACTTAACTTTGACTACTTTAATACACATGTATTTACACTTAAATGTAAATGTAAGTGAATTTGTGAATTTGTTCCAATACTTTTGGTCCCCTAAAATGGGGGGAATATGTACAAAAAGTGCTATAATTTCTAAACGGTTCACTCGATATGGATGAAAATACCCTAAAATTAAAACTGTCAGTCTGCACTTTAACTTCATAGTCATTGTATCACTTCAAATCCAAAGTCCTGGAGTACAGATCCAAAACAAATACAAAAAGTGTCACTGTCCCAATACTTTTGGAGCTCACTGTATCTCACACAGCAACAGTAGGAACTAACCTTTCACCTTAACATCCACAAAGGTTTCCTTGTTACCCATAATGGTGCTGGTGTAACAGCCATATATGCCCTCATCTGAAACATCTACCCTCTTTAGTAGGAGAGATGCATTTCCATGAACAAGCTGGTCTTTGAACAAAGATGTCCTTCCATTGAAATGTCCATTCTGCAGTTGTAACTGGTCACTGTCATAGTAGTAACTATGGACGGGTATTTGTTGTTTATACCAGTGAACCAGCTCCTCTTCATTTGGTTTGAAGCTACATGTCAGCACACAGTCCTCAGAGTAGAGACATGTCACCAGAGAGACTGGGAGGAAAGACATGAAAAATAGAAATGCTTAGATATTATTTAATAGCAGTTTGGATTCCAGAGGTTAATGTTATTTTATTGCAATCAAACATTTCTGAATAATCAACATTTCTAGTATTCTTACCCGAAGTTACATTTTCAGCCAGTTGCAGGGTAGATAACAAGATGAGTAGAGATGTAATTGACCCTGTTATTCCCGTGTTTCCTTTGCAAGTATTCATCCACTCACACATCTAAGAGTAGAGGGGAGAATATTAGTGTACAACATTTTCACAATCTCAAAATATATCATCCTCTCATGCTATGCTTGCAACACCATAAGATAGTGATATACAGTGGGGAAAAAAGTATTTAGTCAGCCACCAATTGTGCAAGTTCTCCCACTTAAAAAGATGAGAGAGGCCTGTAATTTTTATCATAGATACACGTCAACTATGTCAGACAAAATGAGAAAAGAAAATCCAGAAAATCACATTGTAGGATTTTTAATGAATTTATTTGCAAATTATGGTGGAAAATAAGTATTTGGTCAATAACAAAAGTTTCTCAATACTTTGTTATATACCCTTTGTTGGCAATGACACAGGTCAAACGTTTTCTGTAAGTCTTCACAAGGTTTTCACACACTGTTGCTGGTATTTTGGCCCATTCCTCCATGCAGATCTCCTCTAGAGCAGTGATGTTTTGCATAATTTACAAATAAATTCATTAAAAATCCTACAATGTGATTTTCTGGATTTTCTTTTCTCATTTTGTCTGTCATAGTTGACGTGTACCTATGATGAAAATTACAGGCCTCATCTTTTTAAGTGGGAGAACTTGCACAATTGGTGGCTGACTAAATACTTTTGTATTTGAAGATGCAGTGCCTTTAGAATGTATTCACATCCCTTGACCTTTTCTAAATGTTCTTGTGTTACAAAATGGGATTAAAATTGTTGCAAACAGGATACATGTTTTGGAATATTTTTATTCTGTATAGACTTCCTTCTTTTCACTCTGTCAAGTAGGTTAGTATTGTGGAGTAACTACAATGTTTTTGATCCATCCTCAGTTTTCTCCTATCACAGCCATTGAACTCTGTAACTGTTTTAAAGTCACCATTGGCCGCATGGTGAAATCCCTCAGCAGTTTCCTTCCTCACTTGCAACTAAGTTAGGAAGGACACCTGTATCTTTGTAGTGACTGGGTGTATTGATACACCATCCAAAGTGGATGCTGATTGGACGAGCAGCGTTCCAAGCTGTACTGGCCGTCACAGACACACCTATGCCTTCTAACAGTTCCATCTGAAAATGATCACTGCGATTCCATAAGAATATCATGTTCATGTTGCTGTTCGAATCATGTCTTGCATTCATCTCAACTCGCACATTATTTCCCCTTGCTTCCAGCCTAGCATTTAGATTGGTACAGCTGGGGTTAATATACAGTGGGGAAAAAAGTATTTAGTCAGCCACCAATTGTGCAAGTTCTCCCACTTAACGTACTTTTCATCATAGGTACACGTCAACTATGACAGACAAAATGGAAAAAAAATATCCAGAAAATCACATTGTAGGATTTTTTATGAATTTATTTGCAAATTATGGTGGAAAATAAGTATTTGGTCAATAACAAAAGTTTCTCAATACTTTGTTATATACCCTTTGTTGGCAATGACACAGGTCAAACGTTTTCTGTAAGTCTTCACAAGGTTTTCACACACTGTTGCTGGTATTTTGGCCCATTCCTCCATGCAGATCTCCTCTAGAGCAGTGATGTTTTGGGGCTGTCGCTGGGCAACACGGACTTTCAACTCCCTCCAAAGATTTTCTATGGGGTTGAGATCTGGAGACTGGCTAGGCCACTCCAGGACCTTGAAATGCTTCTTACGAAGCCACTCCTTCGTTGCTCCTTCGCCGTAAGCAACACGAAATGGGATTTAATGAGCGCATGATGGCCTGGAAATATAATTAATAAGGAGCAAAAGTCAGCTAACGACGTTAAGTAATTGAATGAAACAACATGGGCTATTTTATGAACAAAGAGCAGAAAGTAATTTTAATCTGAAGGGTGCATAATAAGTTATAGGAATGTGTATGATAATTTGATATAAGTTTGGATAAGAAGTTTCGATATATAACAGAATTAGGTCATAGAATATCAAGGAGTGGTACGGAGAGCGTGAGGTTATTTTAGAGAGTAGTGGAAAAGTCTATATTTCTGGGAGGCTTGACTTTGACAGGGTTTCCGGAAGGTTAGAGAACCGTTGAGGATCCCATGACAAGAAGGTCAGTGTCCGGGAAACTACAGTCTGTTTTTTGGTTCTGCTGGGAGTATGTTTGAAGAAGTTGATTTGTGTCGATTGAGAATTGTTAAAAAAACACGAAGGGATTGTTTGATGTGAGTACCTAAGGATTTCTAACGTTCTATATGGATTATGTGAAGATATGAAAATAGGATGAATTTTATGTGTGTGTAATCGATTACTAGAGAGGTGATAAAGTAACAATTAGAATAATATTTATATATTATCTTGCTCACCCAAACGTAGACATACGTAAGGGATGGGAAACAATACATTAATGTTTCCTGAGTTGGTGCCGTTGATGGATCATTTGATAGAGATACAGTGGGGGAAAAAAGTATTTATTCAGCCACCAATTGTGCAAGTTCGCCCACTTAAAAAGATGAGAGAGGCCTGTAATTTTCATCATAGGTACACGTCAATTATGACAAATACTTATTTTCCACCATAATTTGCAAATAAATTCATTAAAAATCCTACAATGTGATTTTCTGGATTTTTTTTCTCAATTTTGTCTGTCATAGTTGATGTGTACCTATGATGAAAATTACAGGCCTCTCTCATCTTTTTAAGTGGGAGAACTTGCACAATTGGTGGCTGACTAAATATTTTTTTTCCCCACTGTACATTAGAGATGATAAATCTTAAAGGGGTACATGGAATTTTCTGAAGTTTTTGTTTTTTGAGTGAGTTTTGGGTAAACACGTGATTTCTTTTGAGAAGAAATGTAATGAGGACTTACTGTACACTTCGGATACAAAATGTATGAAATGTTTTGACTGTTGTTAATGATTAGTCTACTATAGAATGAAACACTTCTTTGAAGGGTTTGAATGACCTCTGAACTCTGTCCTGACTTTCTAGTGTGATTTGATCACCCACACTGGAAAACCGAGAGACATAGGATGAGGAATTTAAGGTAATTTATTATACCGAGTTGAGGGTCATTTATAATACTGATAATTATGAAGAAGTTTATAATTTGGCAATAGTCCTATATATGATTCAGACCATGACAAGGACAGAGTGAGAGAGCTAGTCCTGAATGAGGGGCACCTGTCGCTAGTCAATTTTACTATTCATTGAATTACCTTATGGGATACAATTAAGTTAAGGTATTATCAAAGGTTGTCATTTTAATTTCATGTATTATTTTGGTTTAACCGGCATGTTTTTTTATTTTTATTTTTATCTTTATTTTAACAGGGAAAAACAGACTGAGACCTGGATCTCTTTTACGGCTGTGCCCTGTGTAAACATGTTGACATGTACAGTTTTAGACATACAGACAAGAACATTTCAAACATAAAAAACAAAAACACAATTCAACAGAAACAATCACAGACAACATCATATTGATCCTCCATAACATTTTTTAAATGGGCAAGGGACACCAGAGTGTCTAACTTAAGTTGGATCTGCAGTTTGTTCCAAAAATAAGGTGCAAAGGAACTGAAGGCAGTCCTACCCAACTCGGGGGAGACCACAGAAGTCTCTAATGTAATCCACATCTGTGATCTGGTTTTAAAATTAGTATATCTAGTGGAAATTAATGATGATATACAGTGGGGAAAAAAAGTATTTAGTCAGCCACCAATTGTGCAAGTTCTCCCACTTAAAAAGATGAGAGAGGCCTGTAATTTTCATCATAGGTACACATCAACTATGACAGACAAAATTGAGAAAAGAAATCCAGAAAATCACATTGTAGGATTTTTAATGAATTTATTTGCAAATTATGGTGGAAAATAAGTATTTGGTCAATAACAAAAGTTTCTCAATACTTTGTTATATACCCTTTGTTGGCAATGACACAGGTCAAACGTTTTCTGTAAGTCTTCACAAGGTTTTCACACACTGTTGCTGGTATTTTGGCCCATTCCTCCATGCAGATCTCCTCTAGAGCAGTGATGTTTTGGGGCTGTCGCTGGGCAACACGGACTTTCAACTCCCTCCAAAGATTTTCTATGGGGTTGAGATCTGGAGACTGGCTAGGCCACTCAAGGACCTTGAAATGCTTCTTACGAAGCCACTCCTTCGTTGCCGGGCGGTGTGTTTGGGATCATTGTCATGCTGAAAGACCCAGCCACGTTTCATCTTCAATGCCCTTGCTGATGGAAGGAGGTTTTCACTCAAAATCTCACGATACATGGCCCCATTCATTCTTTCCTTTACACGGATCAGTCGTCCTGGTCCCTTTGCAGAAAAACAGCCCCAAAGCATGATGTTTCCACCCCCATGCTTCACAGTAGGTATGGTGTTCTTTGGATGCAACTCAGCATTCTTTGTCCTCCAAACACGACGAGTTGAGTTTTTACCAAAAAGTTCTATTTTGGTTTCATCTGACCATATCACATTCTCCCAATCCTCTTCTGGATCATCCAAATGCACTCTAGCAAACTTCAGACGGGCCTGGACATGTACTGTCTTAAGCAGGGGGACACGTCTGGCACTGCAGGATTTGAGTCCCTGGCGGCGTAGTGTGTTACTGATGGTAGGCTTTGTTACTTTGGTCCCAGCTCTCTGCAGGTCATTCACTAGAACCCGTGTGGTTCTGGGATTTTTGCTCACCGTTCTTGTGATCATTTTGACCCCACGGGGTGAGATCTTGCGTGGAGCCCAAGATCGAGGGAGATTATCAGTGGTCTTGTATGTCTTCCATTTCCTAATAAATTGCTCCCACAGTTGATTTCTTCAAACCAAGCTGCTTACCTATTGCAGATTCAGTCTTCCCAGCCTGGTGCAGGTCTACAATTTTGTTTCTGGTGTCCTTTGACAGCTCTTTGGTCTTGGCCATAGTGGAGTTTGGAGTGTGACTGTTTGAGGTTGTGGACAGGTGTCTTTTATACTGATAACAAGTTCAAACAGGTGCCATTAATACAAGTAACGAGTGGAGGACAGAGGAGCCTCTTAAAAATAAGTTACAGGTCTGTGAGAGCCAGA